TAAAATTACAAGAACGCCAAATGATAAAACAAGTTTAAGCATATTCATTATTCGACAGTAAAATTAAAAAGAGCTAAAGAACCAATCTCAAGTTTCTCAAGAAATTTCGTTATTTAGCACCGCCTTTCTGCCTACTTACTTACTTTATTTAAATCTATTTGCATGCATTTAACGTTTTTCGCATCATTTATTCTGGATTTTTATAGATAAGACATATAAATTTGAATCAACGGTGAGCAGAGGCACATGAGAATCCAAAATCGTCAACCAGTATACAACCATTTCAATAACGAAAGAGACAGAGTTGTTGCACCAGATGCTTGCCGGTAGTGTTAAGCTTCCCACTCTGCCTTTGATAGGAGAGTTCAGATTTCATATTTTCTGAGAGTTCAGATAGTGCTGTACTTTTATCTTCTTGTGACTCCACAAAAATTTCTAATTCTCTGAGTAAAGCAAGTACTGCCAACTAAAAACGCTGACAACTTAATGGCAGATTCACTTATGTCTTACAAATGGCTGCAAGAATCTGGTTTGAATATTATAGTTTGTAATATAGTTTGCTCAAATATTCAAATGTTTTAATTATTAATTTACTTAAATTATTTGTTATACAATTTTATATAATTTCATACGATAATTTATATAATATTATCAAATGCAAAGAGCAAAAAGAAGGCGAATTCAAGGCGAAATGATACAAAATCCTTATTCTCTTCGTCAGAAAATAAGACGCCGTTGAAAAAAAAGACCAAAATCAAATTTGTTGATTGTTCGCCATATGTCACCATGAATTAAAGAAAAGATAAAGCCGGAATAATCCAGGTGTTTTCTAGGGAAAAATGCTCATGATTGGCGCTTTTCTTTGATTTGCTCTTCGAATGGTATGACACGGCACGAATTTTTATGCTTTTTCAAATAAATTTCTCGTCTAAAGCGTAAACCACATTTGTTACATTCATATTCTGCATTTGGCAAATGAATTAGTTGATGAACCTTCAGATCATTTTTGCGCACAAAGCATTTGCAACACCCATCGCAGCGAAATCTACAAATAAAAAATATTAAAAGCAGCCTAAATATGGTAAATGGTGAATTATTAGGGTTTTATTACGATTTTTCTTCTTCTTCTAGAAGTGTCCATTATTTCCGGTACAGTTGTAGTTCCACTGACAAATCTTTAGTTGTCCCAAGAACAACCACAATTTTATTTTTAATGTTAAATTTGGTTCCGTCTAGAAATCACAAATTCATGAGATTTCACCGTGTTTCATATTATTCATATTTAAGAATTTTGAATGTTAAATTAACAACAACAAGAATTTCTAAGAATATTTTTTATTCGTGGCCATTTCCGCTTTTTTAAAGCATTTTAATTTATTTAGACTTGACGGAAACTTAATTTAATTTTGGCATATTCAAAACAAAAAAGAGAAAGACGTTTTCATTAAAAAAGAGAAAAAACTTAAGATTGGCTATATATCTGCCCCGTTTTTATGTTTACTAAATTTGTCCTTTAACAGAAAGATTTGAAATATATTTATTGATAAAGTGAACCTGGTACGCGTGTTACAAAAACACCAAAGGTACCACAAATATCGCTAAAGGCTTTCGGAGAGATTAAACCTAATTAAACCATCATAAAAAATTTCATAAGTTTAAATAGCTTTCACGCTAGAAGAAAAAAAAAAAACTTCTCATAAAATAATCCGAATGATGCCGGTACCCACGTATTTACTTCTATACCTAAGTGATCCTTTGTCAGTCTAACAGCCAGTATAGCGAGCTTAAACTGAAAAAATAGCTGCTGCAGAAAAAAATCTTTGTTAGAAAAAGACATATAACAGAATTTTTCAAAATGAAAGCTAATAAAGAAAAAAAGAAATTTATTCGAAACATCAACAAAAGTTCGATAAATAATTATGTATGGCAAAATTTCCGGAGAAAATTTAATAAAATATTTTAGGAAAGAATTGTTCGAACTTCGACAAACATCCTTTGGATAACTTTCTATATCCACGAATGATTTCATGAAAAAATTCATGAAATGGGAGAAACACAAATGACCTAAACGATACATGATTGAATTTATGAAAACTAATTGAGATTATTTTAAATAAAATCAATAAAAATTAATTTAAATTATGAAATCTTTGGAGGTCTAACAATAAAAATTCCAAACAACTGCATACAGAATTTTAATATTAGGATTTCTGGTCCATTATCTAAGAATATGCTTTTTATTTCTATCCCAGCACATCCTTCTCTTCCTTCTAAGAACTATTCTTAATTGGATTTGTTCTACTGGCTATTAGGCAAAATCTTCTGACTGAAGTTAGATTGAAGTCTACAGCGGTAACCGAGTTTCAGTTCTATGAACTTGTTTGGCGTTTAATCAAAACAACACTGCTATCAATCGATCGTATTTTATCGCATGTTTGGCAAATAATCAAATGGTTCTCAAAACTTTAAATGTATTAATAAGTTATCAAACTTCCATTAGATATTTTTTCAGTAAAAAACCAGATTTCTAATTTATATATTATGTTATATATTCTATTTTTTATCTATTTTGAAATTTGTCGCATAATTTAGATATTTCGAAAAGCATTTTTTAAAACTTAAAAGCTTGGATACCAGATTTCAAATAATTCGAGAAATTAATTTTATGATTAAATCAAATTAGTCTGATGATCCATCTTCTTCGAGTCACTTTGGTATGACTGGCTTTTAGAATGGGATCCTTCGCCAGAGAATCACTATAATGGTTTGGCTTTGGTCGAAACCACTCGACCATACTTATTAAATTAGAATAATAAATTAATCTACAAAAAAATATTAATTTATTCAGTTTGAAAAATGCTTAAAAGAAATAGTGTCAATGACTGTTTTATTTTGTAGAATTTCTATTTAAAAATTATTTCTATTTAAAAGAATTTAAAAAGTAAGGAAAAAAATTTGTCGAGAAAGAACACTGGAAATGGTATTTTCAGTGTTGATGAATCGAAACTGTTGAAATGCCACCCAAAAGCTACGCAGATGCAAATGCGAGGCATTTTTCCTTCTTCCTTTAAGAAATCAGATCCAAATCCCTCACAACTTCTTTTTTTTGAGTTAAATAGTTCAGGTGCCATGAGTTCGATTCACACATATCGCATAAACAAATATTGCTATTAAAATAAAACTGATTGGTTCTGGAGAATCAAGTCTGTTTTAACTCTCTGGCTTTTTTGAAACAGCTAAATTATATGCCATACATGAAAAAAAGTTCATGATTTAATGAAAAAATCTGAAATAAGTTAACTGCGTTTAGAGTCTGTTTGTCCGATTTATTAGCGTCATATACCCATAATTTTGACTTATCACTAAACAAAAAATGTAAAAATTAAAAAATTCTCATTTACGAAAGCTGAACCATTGAAGCATTAAATTTATCGAAAAACTTGATTAATATAATACTTAATACTTAATTATCTTAAAAAATATTTAATAAAAATAATGGCTTTTGCTTTTATCTCATCCAATGAATGCCTAAATTATTAAGAATGGCTAACTAAGAATGTAATGAGATAGAATTATTTAATATAAAATATTTTTAAGAGTTTAAGGAAAATAAATTATCTTAAGAGAAGAGATAATGAACGCGCTTCAAGATGAAAGAACGGGAACGGGTTTTTTATTACAATAAATATAGAAGACTGCAAAAAAATGAGGGAGTCGCATGGTACTGTCGAGGAAAAGTTTTTTATGGAATTGAGCACTATTTTTTCCTTATATATGACTTTTTTTAACAATGGAATTGCAAAATGAAACAAAAAATTCTTTTTGGATGAACCCTTAAATTTCATCTTAATTTCTCGATAAACATAGGTTAAATTTTCCCTTAATTTTTCAATAAATATAGGCATACTTGATTAACTCTATCGTTGCATTATTACTACGATGTTAGCCAATAATATCGCAGAAGGTATGCGGAAACATCGAAGTTTAGAAAATTATGATGAAGAAGTAAATGAGGAGTTTAACAAAATTATTTTCTTACTTTCTTCATTGTTTTGTACACTCATTTAAAATAAAAATAAAATAATAAAATAAATAAAAATAAAACTTAGTAACTTTAAGATGGAGAAGTAAAACGATTTAAGACTGATTATTTGCCTAAAGTGATAAAACTTGTTAAAACTTCTTGCGTCGCTCTCGTTCTACTATGTGTTTATGGAACTTTCAGATCCAAAACTAAAAAGCAAAATAACTTGCTACTATGCAAATATATAAAGATAATGCAAGCAAAGAGTTAGCATGCTGTTTTTTCGCGACTAAAAGTGACGATTTCTATCTATGAAATAAAAACGAGCTGAAAAGCTAAAATATTTGCAGAAAATATTTGAAGAAAATTGGATATTCTCTAACTGTTATAAAACACGGGGAATATTTTTATAAAATATTTTTTTCGAGTCTATCGTTCAAATTGACTTCGTTCCGTGAATAATTTATTCTCTTAATGTTTCATAAAAGTGTGATTGTTGATCAGACTCCAGGCTCATCAAATTCATATGCTATTTCTAAAAGGAATGAAACATCACCAAAGCATAGAGGTGACGCTGCCTGTGGCCTACTTTCTATCGTCAAGTATCGACTCAAAATTTCGAAATAAAAAAAAAATTTCTCACCATATTAACAGTCAGTGCAGCAAACTTAACCAGAAATATGAACACTAACTAACCATCTACTCGGCTAAAGTCATCTATTAAGTCTAGAAAAAATTTCAATTTTTTCTTGGGACTCACTAATATTATTCCTATAGTCGAAGTAGTTGTCCACATTCATGGTGATCGATTGGTGTATTCTTATATAGAAACAGAATTATAATTCGATGTTAATTAGCATTAGAATCAATTACCTTTCATTATTCAACCATAAATTAACCATGCAACCATGCAAAAAGAATGACGAAATAATAGACGTTATAATTTAAGAATTCCCTAATTTAATAAAATATAAACTCACGGACGATCAAATGTATGTTTCGATCGGATGTGCGCAGTAAGAGCCTGAAAATATTTCTGATTTACAAATTTTAAATTAAGAAAGTTGTAATTTTTATGTCGCAGAGAGGTTTTTATTTTTTTAAAAGTAAATACATCAGTTATTTATAAAAAAAATTTAAACAAAAACCTGCAACTTTAGAAAGTGCCAAAAAAATTTTTGTTAGCAACTGGCACTTCGCTTGCTAAAGGAAGTTAAGTGATAATTATTTTTATAGAAAATTGGAAAAAATGCATCAAAAAATTGGAAAAAGATTCGTATTACCGTCAAGTTTTGCTAAATGCTTTTTTCTTCAGTTTTTAAGGGATCAGTATGAAAAATCAGTGGTGCTGAATATTAATCATTTATATTTTTACCTGCAAGAGACCATCTAGCACAAGAGTTTCATCCTAATCAGTGATTCACATGGAATGATGTCATTCTCAGCTTCTGGTCTATATGAGTTCAGAATGAGCGAGGTTTTGAGTGGCAGTTGGAGGTATGAGAAAACAGTTTTGCAAAGAGTTATCCAAGCTCCCCTCACTCAATGGACCTCGAGTTTATAGATGATCTTAGGAATAAATTGGTGAAGCAATCAATCAAAGTTTTTACAAAAAAACTTTATCTGCCTTTGTCTACAGTTCATTTGAAAAAACGAAAAAGAGTATAAAACCTTTGAACATTTAAATCCTGGATGGTCGCAACCAGAATAATTACAGTAAAATTTACGATTCGTATGTACCATGATAAAATGCCGTTTTAAGCCACCCGATCGCCCAAAACTCGATCCACATATCTCGCAAATGTGCCGTCGTTCTTTTCTAAATTTGAAATCGTGAAAATTTCTGTCAGTTATTCAGTTATCCAACTATTTCTGAAGCTAAAAGCTGGAAGGAAGATTTCATTGATTTACAACATTCTTATTATCCATAGCGATTAATATTTATTACTATTATAACTAATAATTTATAAAAATAGTTGTATTTATATTATTCTTCTTTTTATTCTAACAGCTCTCACCACCACTGGTTAGGCTGGCTCCAACGGCTACAAGGGTACGCTCCCAAGCGGCGCGGTCTGATGCCATCGTCGACAGTAATGGAAGCCATTCCTTTTTTCATCGTCTAAGTCCATATATTGCTGGTCCACCTATACGTTCAAAATCTTTTCTCACCGTATCAGTCCAGGTCTTGGCCCATCTCGCTTTTAACGCCAACGGTTTAGCAAATAACGAAATATGCGTCAACTCCTGTGGTGAACGACGGAGAATGTGTCCTAACCAGCGAAGGCGGCGCTCTATGATAACATTATTTATGCAAGTGGTATTAGTGGTATTTGAAGGTGGATGCGATGTAATGAGATTTTATCCACTCGGCCTTAATATGTACCTTAGATAAGAGTGGTCAAAGGCAGATAACTTCTTAATATCCTCCACTTTCATT